TGCCTGAACGTCAGACATAAAGAATTCTCTTCTGAGTATGAAAAAGGAATGGATGCCATCCGATGTAAAAAATAGCCAATAAAACAAAACTATGAACATAACTGCTATTGCGGAGTCAGTGCCAACAGTCTCACAATGCAAGAGAGGAATTCCCTGACGTACACTCAGGAAAATTCGGTCGAAACGTCAGAGTATTTGTAAACAAACCTTTTGTTGTTTTTCGAGCTGTCAATTATGGAATCAGAACACCTGTTAGCTTCAAGCATGAACGAACCACATCTTAATAGGCATTCAGATTTTTGCGTTCCCCAGAACGACTGGCCAAATAATTTCATAATTTCAGGAGAGTGTCATCCTCGTCCTCAAACTTAAACGAGCAATATTTTTCGACAATTTTACTTAATGCCAACTTTAGTCAATTTCACTAGCTGTCGAAGAAAGCAAAAGTAGATCAAGTGAGATCAAATATACCAAGAAACAATTGCTAACGGTCGTGTTCCTCATGCAACAAAGATAATTACAACAATCGAATAGCCATGCCAGCTTCAAAAATTAACTTCTTTCATCCTAATGCATAGAGCTTCGTTGTAAGGTTCTGATTTTATGCTGAATCTTAATAAGAAGACCAAATAAAGTTTCAGCACTTGCAGAGATGCCAGGGTTAAGACTGAGAAATAAGTAGAGGAGTTTAACATGGAGCAATTAGTTAATGGTAGTCACACTGAAACACGGCTTATGCAGTATGTACTTGAATGCAACGCAAAAAAATCAGTCTATCGAACGGTTCGTATCTTGCATACATTCTTGATGCAGTGATCAGTGATGTGTTTGTATACAGCAAGCTGTTCGGCCCAGAGATTTTATGAACCAATACTTCGAAACGAACCAACCGCTGCAAATCATAACATCAATGGCAGCTAATATCTCATATTCATATCCTGAAGAAAGCACATGAGATACGGACCGAAGCTTTAATACGCCGTCTGTCATCCAACCGCTTGGCTCTGCGTTGTGTTTACACAGACCATGTTTATTTTATGTTACAGTAGATCGATCGAAAGGAAAAAGATGAATTTATAACCGTTTGGATGTCAGTCTCGTCTAAACTATCATGATTAGATACCATGTTTGGCATATTGAGATTAGCGAATGCTCTGAAATGAAATCAACGAATTATTTATTTATTTCAAGACTTTTCTACCGAAAGAATTGTACAACATAACTATAAGAAATGCAGTCTTCAAGCAGCAAAGGCACCGTGGGAATCGTCTGATAAACTACCAGATCCGCAGCCCACTGTTAATTCACTTCAGCACCGTTGTCACCAACGAGACTCGATATACTGATATCTAGTGGCATGCCGTCCAGTGAGTCTAGTTGCGAGTCACATGGCGCATCTCTGGGTCGCGGCAAGGGAATCATTCCCAGATGTAGATGTCAACTGTGACTAATAATTAGCCGTGGAAAGGCAAAGGTGGTGGCGGTCAGAGTCTGATTGTAGACGGGGGCAGCATACCCGTAACCTATAACATAATCAAACGTTACCTTATGATAGGCCCATAACAAGAAGAAAATGATCCGCCAGCAGTAAGGTTACTTATGCTACCGCTGCCTTGCGGTTAGACCTGAAGAGGTCAAAGGCTAGAAGAGAAAATTTCGAGAATACAGCAGGTGGCAGTTGGCAACCCCTCTGTATCAGCGAACGAATCTCATGAAACTAAACACTGGGGCCAGCTAAACCAGCGACGGCGACAACTGTAACAACAGAGACACGAGGTGGATCATTCCTTACTAATATTTTGTGCATATGGTTAGCTGTAGAAAACCGGCAGGCAGGTGTGCCATACTGATCTCCATGCGCAATGGTATATTGGTGACCTTGCCAGCAGTTTCGGTAGCACTCAGTAACAGTTTCCGCGGCTATATTTTCAAAGACATTGTCAATATGTAACTACTGACAGAAACTCATGAAATCAAGAGGTGAAGTGTTGCCCAAGATGTTAGCACTTTGTTTTCAAGTTGAAGGAACCAAAAACTCCAGACGATCAGATAACAGATTCTACTACACAAAATGAAGAAAAAGAGGATATAAAGAATTATATGCTGACCAGTTTGTTACCAATCATCCACAAAATCTTCACGAAGGTACTGACAAACAGACTTAAAGACAAACCGCACACCGTATCCCGCCAAAGGAGCAAGCAGGATACAGAAGTGGATTTAATCCGATGGATGCTCTCCAAGAGGTACAAAAAGTAATTCAAACAAACTACAGATATCAGTTTCTTCTCGACCTGAGGTTCGTAGATTTCGAGACGTTCGACTCAGTCTACATCCGTTCTCTACAGGGTGAACTGAGGATCCAGAAAATCGAAAAAGGGCACATAAACCTAAGTGCCATGACTTATGAGAATGCCACTGCTGATGTTAACGGGATCATGGGCTGAACAGAAATGGGCACTACGCGAGCCACCCGCGATTTCAGTGTACATTTTGATCTTCTCAGGGCATCAGAAGAACGAAGAACCATCTGAAAGAAGAACTGAACAACCGAACGATACAGCAGCATCAAAGTAGGCCTGACAAGGAGCCTGAAGACTTAGGGCATGTTCAACAAATACGTGGTCGTGTGAGTTGTTGATGATGAACTGTGGCGTTTATTCGTTCTTTCTTGTACGTCACTTTCTCCTTAACCCAGTTATGTGTTGTGTCATTTGTCCTGTACGCAATAAACTCTGTTTAGCTTACACCGCTGAAGTAATTTCTTTTCTGTGTCCTCAGTCAGGAATGCCTTTGTTCATTTTTTAAGACTACATCCACAACCGTATGTCCTAGAGAGTTGTCCAAACAGGTGTGTGTCTTAGCAGGAGCTACAATACGATGGCCATCGTTTGCTTAAGCTGTCCCCTGGAGGACTAGGAGTAAGGGGGCGGTGCGATTACTCGATGTCATGGCGAAGAAGTGACAAGAGATTCTTACGTAAGAATTTACTTGTGCAATGAAGTGCACGCTGATTCGCTCTCCCATCATCCGGATCGCCT